TGCCTTGATGCCGATTGTAGTCATTGTTGACTTTGGCATGATGTTTATGGCTGATCCACCATCCACAAGCATGCGGTTGACTTTGTGCTCCCTTACGTACCCAGAGACGAAGAGAGGACGGTTGTGAGGCTTGGATCCTAGCAGCAAGTCTTCGTCGGTGAAATGGATTGTGTCTTCGATGGCACAGCATGTGTCATATTCATGTGACCGAAGTTTGAAGCCTTCGTTCTTGCTTTCTTGCACTTCGTGGTCATTGGGACTTTCCAAGATCGCTGCTAATGCTATTCGCATCTTCTTTGGTAATCGCAGCGTTTCCTCAATGCTAAAGTGTGTTGGCAGACCTTCTTCGAGCGTGAGAACTTTTTCTCCCTCAGTGGTGATATCTTTGCCTTTTGAAGGTTCTTCTATTTCTACTTCGACCATGTGGCATGCAGCGATAATGCCCTGTTGGAAGAAGTCGTTCAGGAAGTACTCGTGCAATAAGATAGGAATGCGTGGCTTTTGCTCCGTAGGTTCCCCAGCATACATTGGCTTATCAACTTCTACGTTGCTTTTGGGCTTCCTACTGTTGCGGCGACGGTGATTTCTCACTTGTTCCACCTTTTGTCTTATTGCTTGTGGTTTTGGTTTCCTTGTTTTTTTGTAGGTCACCAATGTCCATCCTTCTTCATTATCGGCATGTGCATCTTGTTCGTTTGCCCCCCGGTGATGGTTGCGCAGAAGGTATCGTGTAACTTGAGCATTGATAGGAATGGTCAAGTGCTACTCGGAGAGGCACAGGATCGAAAGTTCCAAATGCAATTGTAGTAGTATGTGTCGCGGCCGTGTCTTCGAGGTCGAGCTCGATTTGCCCTTGTTGTGCTAGTTTCATGATGAGCTCTTTGAGGACGAAGCATTTACCTACAGGATGGCTCACGATTCGATGGTGCTTGCAGTATTTAGGATCGTTTATGCGATTCATTTCTTCAGGCCGCTTGCATTCGGGTAGCTCAATTACCTTCTTTTCTAGCAAGTCGTCTAACATTGCATCCATGTCTGAGTCAGGAAAAGGGTATACCTTCTGCTCCAATTCCCTCAAGGTGCTTTTGTACCTTTCTTGGGTGCGAGGAGGCTCACTTTTCTTTATCTCATTTGCTTTGGTTTTAGAGGAGATCTTGATAGGCGCGGATGCGGTCTTGACGGGCGCAGTGCTGACGGTGAACGCTTCCTTGGGGGGTTTCTTCCCTGTCTTGTCTACATTTGGGGAGAACACCTTATCCTTCTTGAAGTCGGTGATCGGCTCTTTTCTTCCCGTGATGGGCAATACTTAGCTCCATGTCGTGGGCACGGGTGGCTAACTCTTCAAATGTCCGTGGTTTGATGCCTTGAAGGATATAGTGTAACCCCCATTGCATGCCTTGGACGCACATCTCAATCGAAGAGATCTCCGAGAGCCTGTCCTTGCAATCGAGGCTCAGATTACGCCATCGGTTGATGTAGTCCACAACTGGCTCATCCCTCCATTGCTTCGTGCTTGTCAGCTCTAGCATGCTCACGGTGCGACGGGTGCTGTAGAAGCGGTTGAGGAATTCCCTTTCCAACTGTTCCCAGCTGTTGATGGATTTGGGCTCCAGGTCTGTGTACCACTCAAAGGCATTTCCTTTCAGCGAGCGTACAAACTGCTTAGCGAGGTAATCTCCTTCCGTCCCTGCATTGTTGCAGGTTTCGACGAAATGTGCGACATGTTGCTTCGGGTTTCCTTTTCCATCAAACTGCATGAACTTTGGTGGTTGATAACCCTTTAGCATCTTTAGGGCATCAATCTTCTTGGAGTAGGGCTTTGAGTAGAATGATGAGGTATGTGAGCTCCCATTGTACTGCGCCTTGATGGTGCTGGTTATCATCTCTTGCAGTTGTTGGATAGAAAGAGATCCCATGAGTGCCTCTGCTTGGCCTGGCTCCGGCTTCACATCGATTTTCTCCACCGGAGGCTCTTCATCCTCGTCGTTTTCCTTCTTTACTGAACCATCCCCTTGCTCGATTTTCACGTTGGGCTTGTGAGATACAGAAAGGGAAAGTTGGTTTCATGGTTGTAGGCTTTCTTCATTTCATGAGAATTTAAATTTTTTCATTTCCTCAATTTAGTTTCAATTTTTCAAATTTTGCTTTTTTTTAATTAATTAATTCATGTTGGCACAATTACAATATAAGTGCCAGGTTGGAAAAGCTTATCTGACAAAGTTGTCAGAACAGGGCACAAATGGATTGCTATTTGTGCTTGCGTCTCTGGCACAAACACCCTATGCTCTTTCAGCAAAGGGCACGCCCAAAGAGGGCACATATACAATTTTGGTAGCTGCACTGTTGTTATTGATCTATGAGCACATATGTTGGTGACTTTAGGCCTCAAAGGGCACAAATAACTTTTTGTGCACAATGCCCATATTTTTTGTAGTGAAAAACCAAAACAATGGGAAATTACTATTTTCATTAATTGTTTCCACTGTTGGATTTGGAGAAACTGCCTAGAGGTCTTGGAATTAGTATTGCTGCAGAAAATATGGCTCAAGATGTGGTTGCAGTTTGTGATAATGTCAAACAACGACTGGAGCAAACTAATGCTAAGTATAAAGTTGCAACCGATAAACAAAGGCGAGTTAAAGTGTTTCATGAAAGAGATTTTGTCATATTGTTCTTGAGAAGAGACCGTTTCCTACTGTAACTTACAAAAAGCTCAAGCCACGATAGTATGGTCATTTAAAGTTCATAAACGAGTTAATGACAATGCTTATGTTATTAATTTGCCGGATTCTATGGGGATTTCCAACACTTTCAATGTTGCTCATATATGTGAGTTCAATGACTATCCTGACCATAACTCGGAGTCGAGTTCTTCTGAAAGGGGGGGGGGGACTGATGTAAAATAAACGGCCGAATGGATTGAAAAGGAAATGGACCGTGAGAAGTCAAAAAGATGTGGTGGGAATTTGCAAATTCGGCGTCCAAGCTTCAATTCGGGCCCGTGATACCTTTTCGGAAAGGGAATGAAGCCACTATTCGAACTTACAGATACGAAGAATTTTAGCCATCCGAAATTGTTTCAGCCTCCAAAACAGCATTTCAATTTCCGTAACAAAAATCAGAACTTTGAGTTGCCTTCCGATTATGTCGTTTTAATTACTTGAGTCCTTTGAGTTGTTTTAGGAATTGTAATCAATTTATTTAAGGCCTTTGGCTGTTTCTGGAGTTGTAATCAGTTTATTTAAAGCCTCTGGCTGTTTCAGTGTAATCGTTCAACCGTCAATTAATCAAAGTAACCTTTAGGTTTTCTCTCAACCTCTGGTGGACACCAGAAAACTGTTCTACGATGGTTTACATTAGTTTCCCTCTTGCTTCCCAATGCGGCAATTTGGCAGATAAGAAAATGTACAATTATGTACATCCGTTAAGCAATGTAAGAACTCAGACGAGGCAAGACTAAGCGGACCGGTGTTCTGATAAGGAATCACGGTCCAATGATTTCCTCATGGAAGTGACCATCTCAGATCTCAGTACTCCAACATATGTCAATCATAAATGAAGTGATTCAAATGGATAGAGAACGTAGTAACGCTTTGAGGTATGTAAATCTGGAATGCCAAATGCAGATGAAGGTTGCTAGTAAACAGTATAAATGTAGCAGAAAATTGTAATCAGTGTTCTCCTTTTCTTGCTTTGGAGTTCTACTGTTTCATAGGTGTGACAAATATCTCGCATCAATTGACTATATGGAACACAATGCTTGAAACTAGTATCCACTAGGAAACACACAACAAATCAGGAAATTTCTCAGCTTGGGAACTGTATTACTGCTCCAGCCATCAAATAATTTGAAAGAGACGGGACAAGGAAAGTATTGTCAAGGATAGAGTTCGAGTTGGGGACATTGTTCATAGTCTAGAGTCTAGTCACTATACAACGTTGTTATTCGCTATAGTTGTCATGTGAAGTTCAGCATTATATTGGGAATTCAGGTTAAACATCATATAATTTGTCGCGCCAGAGATATTTATCCATCTCTGATCACGAATCATGGCTCAAGTATTTAAAACATATCCACAGTTACTCGTCATTGGGTTAGTAAGGGTTGTCGTTGAAATTTTCTTGGTCGTCAAAGTCGTTAAGGTCATCAAGGTCTTCGCCAGAGTCTTCAGGGTTGTCGTCGAGGATATCAATGTTGTCATCAGGGTCAAGGTTTGGTTCTGGTTTGAGGTCTTGGAGGAACTGTCGTCGGTTTCTCCAAAAGATTGGAAGATCTCTTTCTAACCATAGCAGTTTCCCTCAGGATCTTTGCGCTGTTTCCATGTCAATATTTTAGAGATCATTCAATAAATTTAACAAAGTGTGCACTATTAGTTTCTGCCCGTTAACTATCGTAAATATCTTTTGTTAAGTTGACAATATGGTATATTGAGAAACCTCGTAATTCTATCTTCTTAATAAAAAATTTATATAAAAACAAAAAAGAAGCCTTTGGTACTGGCTTGTGCAGAACTCAGTTATTTCCGATATTCAAATCTAAAGCTTTTCACTTATATATATTGAATAATACCATTAGACCATAGTACTAAGTGACCAAGGGTCGATTTCTTTGGATGAATTTGTTTGTGATTATTAACTTGTGCATAGTGCCTTCTAGCAGGACAATTAGTTGATTATTAGATATTTGTACCCGCGCGATGTTGTGGGATTGAAAATCATATGAAATATTTTATAGCTTCAATTTTCATAAACAATGTTTGAACTCGAATGGCAACCCAAATTAATTCAAATGAAATCTACACAACCCAAAGTAAGAGATCAAACAAAATATGCACAACCCAAATGAAGAGATCAAACTCTAATTCTATCAAAAAGCCATTATTCCTAATGCCACCTTTCTTTTTGGCACCCTATCCATTCTATCAGCAACCGATACAGAAACAAATAAGTCCATAAAACATAAATAAACTCAAGAAGTATATGTACACAACACAAATCAACCCAATCAGCGAACTTTATTTAAATAGAACCAAATGAGTAATAAGTCATTGAACCCTCACTTCACCATTCTAATTTTTTTTCCATATCTGTCTATGTATATTCGAGGGTAGACATTCAACCCTCACTTCTTTCTTTTTTGAGAGCTATGCATACTAATTGGAGGAAACCAAGGAATTCGAAGCTTTTCCATACCTCGGCTTATATTTTGAGGGATTTAATGTGTTCTTGGAAATTGGTAAAAGTGAATGTGGAGGAATAGGGGAAGAGTCCATTGTCTCTCAAGCTCTTCCCTTTGAATTGCTGTAAAAGAAACTCTCACATCCACCATTCCCCCTATTCCAATTGAAAAAAATTAAATTAAAAATTTTAAGAAGAAACTCAACAGAAAATCACTAAATAGTTCAATAAATTTGGAATCTTTGTTATCTTCCTGAAGAAAAAAAAGTGGAAACTTTACCTGAGGAATTGAAAGCCTAGCTATGATGAGAGCAAGGCAGATGGTGCTGCAAATGTTATGGAGGGACATAATCAGAACCAATAGGATTGAATAAATCAGTTGGAAAACTCAAGATGTGATCAACCTGTTCGCTGCCGACCTGCATCCACACAAAAACCATACAAAAAAATTGCCAAATAGATTTTGATAGCATACCACAATGTCATGACGCAAAATTAAATGTAATCACAAAATTAGCCACTTGAAATCTGCCAGACAACTCACTAGGAAACACAACTTTTTCTGGGTTTAAATTTTCTCCCAATCCGAAACGGATTCATTTAAAACACAAAGTCGGATGGGCTAATCCCTTCACTGGACTGTGATTTAATAGAGGTTCACAATCTCTCCAACAGTGCCTCTGCATTGCTACTTGTTTCCTAGGTCTTGAACCGGAAAATCCCCAAATGGGCAAATCCAAATTTTATCATCAAAACCAAAATTATAGTAAAGAAATTATTATTTTTCCGAAACCCTTCTAAAGGGCAGAAAGAGAGAGAAAATATAATTTAAGTTCGGAAACTTACAGAGGGGTTTTGGAGAAGGAACAGAGAGGAGGAGAAGTGCGACCACCATGAAGACTCCAGGTTAGTCATCCTGGATTCAGTTTGCAGCATAATTACTGCTACTTGCAATGATTCGCCTATCATTGTCTAGCAAGCAAAAACCCTAAATTCTCATAAAGAGGTCCAAGCTGTGCCACCTTTCTGGAACAACCTTTTTTAGGCTGGGTGAGAAGTGCCCTTCTTGCGATTCTTCAAGGAATTGCAAAAGAAGGTGAAACCCGCTTTTAGTTCTCCTAAGAGTGAAAGTTGAAGGGTGAGCACCAAGGTACGAACTTCGAACTTGCTCACTTTTCTTCCTCACAGAAAATGGTTGAGCTAAAGCCGACTGCTGCTTGTTTAGGCCTTTAATAACAAATGAGAATGCCCCAAAAGTGAGACAGCCTTGTAGAAGAGCTTGGGTTGCACCTGCAAATTAAATAAGGTATTCTAAATTAAAGATATAATAGACTGTACAGAAACTGCTTTATTGAATAGCGAGGAAAAGACTTGCTTGTTTTAACAATTCAAAAATAAGAGAAAACAAAAATCGGGAGTTCTATAGATATTAAGAATTTAAATTTTAATAGCACAGTTAATGAGTTTATTGCTAATTTATAAATTATCAAACTCTGTAATACGATGGATACCTGGAAAACTAAGAGCAAGACGAGTACAACATCCAACTACTCCAGCATTAATGACTGCAGAGGAAGAAAGAGTGAACACGATATAATGAATGAATAACGTAAAAGTACTATTTCTGCATTCAAGTTCCCATACCATCATCCTTTCCTCGTAGCCTCTTCAACATGCAGACAAGCAAACTGGGCACTCGAGACAAAACTACAAATGTCTAAAATTATCAATAAAAAGGGAACAACATAATTAAGACTTGCTATTCTTGTAGGCATCCTAATTGTCTTTAGCTTGGTATAATTGAGGATCACTAACTTGTTCTCTTCAATTGTTCCCACGTTTCTCGTACTGCTTAAAAAAGTGCAGTTAAAAACATGTAAAAGCATTATTACAAAAATTTATGTGATTCCCTTTTTTACTCACTGGATTTCACATTTGTTTGCCCTACTGGTGTTTGGGTTAATATTTGAACTTTGGACTGTCAGGAAAAGAAGCCCAAAAAGAACCAAGGAGGAGGTTTTACCTGAGGCCTATCACCTAAGCCCGAATATTCATTTCAAGATTTATGAGGCTCTCACCCATTAAATGAAAAGGCTAGGAGCTTGAAAGAAGTGACACTTGATGGAAATTAGCCTGCTCTCAGCCCAAAAGCACTTTCTGAATGGCAGAGTACGTAAATTGTTGATGAGTCACTACCCCTCATATTGCTTTCGAGCAGGAACCAAGCTGCAAGCAGTTAGGCTAATTCGCCTATAAAATGAGGAAGAGAGCCCAAAGACAAGCACACTCAACCAATCAAACAATACACAAACTCTGCTCAAGCCAGATTTGCATACGAAGCTGTAGCCAGCCCCCAACCTCATTCATTTTCAGGATCAGCCCTCACAAAAGCCATCTTTTGTCTAGTTTAATAACTCTGTTGCTCACCAGTAGTATCGATTCTCTTGTGTAAATTTATTTGTCATCCATCCTCTTTTAAAACCATCAGATCCTTATAATTGCAAAGAAAAGAAATGGCGAAAGGTCTAGCCTTGCCCGACAAGGTTCAATCTTACCCGATTCCATTTGTTCTGTCTTTTAGTTAATAGATCTGGTGTTGTAATGAATTCCCTAGTATGTATTCAAATCATTTTAGGTCTTTTAATGATCCGAAGTTCAGCTTACTCTCAGATCTGGTTTTAGTTAAATGGTTTTACTATCTTAAGAGTGAATCCACTTAATGCCTTGATTAGATCTGGACCTCTGCCCTTTTACCATACAAGATAAACAAAAGTCCTTGATCTCAAGGCATAGAAAAGAATCTAATGTGGACTTAACCCATCCACGACAATCCTTTGATAATGAGAAGTCAGAGTAACTTGAGGCGCAAGTAATCGACTTAAATCTACTCATTTTACATCTGCCATACTGAGATGGCAGTGGCACGCCTCAGCATTTAAGTTAGTTTTGATTGCGAACCTCACGACCTATACTTAAGGCCCGATAAAGGCACCTTTTAGAATTAACTTTGTCCTCTTCTTGCAGTCCGACGAACAAAGCGAGAACACGACAGTCAACCAAAGTGTCAACTCCGCGAGCAACTGTGTGCTCGAGCCAGGAACACCTACTGGCGACATTCCTGCTCGAACAACTGGTAAGCATGTGTTGTAAATTGAAATAGAAAGGAACGAAGTTACCCGAAAAATGTAGAAGCCTTGAGTGGTGAGTGATTCTTGGGATGAGTCGCGGACTAAGTCGCTCTCTTTAAGACATTTCGCGGCTCTGCCTAAAGTGTGCAAGCAGTTTTCAAACACCACGTCGTCCCCAGGATAAAACAGCCCAAAACCTTCTTCTTCTGATAGGTTCTTCCTTGCACAATGAAAGAACCTTCGAACTCACACATTTTCTATATGTTTCTTTCAGAACTTAATTTTAAAAATAATAAGCTGTTGTTTCTTTTTCTCCTGACCCTTTTCTTCGAAACAGAGAACATATATATATGCAAGACAATAAAATATACGTTGCAAATTTTTGATATTCAAGGGCATGAAAATCTTAGATAATCAAAACTAAAGAAACCAAAACTGTCAAATAAAAATGTACATATTCAAAGGTCAAATAAAAAACGTACATATTCAAATAAAAACGTACATATTTAAACCGAACAAAAGAATGTAAAGGACCTAATCTTCTTATCTATTCAGAGAAGGAATCCCACCATATATATATATATATATATATATATATATATATATTTATTTATTTAATGATTGTAATAAACCCAAATATAAATACCACAATGGATAAAAACATAGCAATTAAAATATTTAAATAAAAACATATTTACTCCAACAATCCCCCACTTGTTTTTGTTTAAAAATCGTAAATCAAGCAACATATTATAAAGCTATGCTTAAGTAAAGGTGTTTCAACTTGAACATGTACATAGTGTTAGTGATTCAGATTATACCAGAGTAACTTATAGTTTTGAACTCTATTTCTGACAACACTACACACACAACTTTATTAAGGTGAAGTTCAAAAAGCCAGCACATTACGGTTATGTACTTGTATTCCAGTATAGTGAACGCTTTAGAAACTTGCCCAAGATTTCATAGAAAACGGCCTCACTTCCACATTCACATAGGTAAGACTGTCAAGGATATTCCTGTAGCTAGATATCCCACTCAACATAGAGTATAGACCTTACTAAGAGAAAAAAAATCTCAACCTAAAAACGCTTCAGGATGTCATGCTTCTTAGGGATGGACATGGAATAATATTTCAAATTAAAATTAGCAAGACTTCACTCATATCACTTGTGACTTGTTATTACCTTTTGAACCTATTTCTTGGGATCTCTAGTCTATATGTTAGGTTGCTATCACAAATGACTCAATTTTCTAAGGGCTTTAGTCCCATCCCTTTCGAGGTTTTCCAAACCTTTTCTCGTGCTAGTCCTTTCGTTAAAGGATCAGCTAAGTTTTCATCAGACCGTATATGATCCACTCTTACAGCTCATTTAGAGAGGTAATCGCTTACAGTGCTGTGCTTACAACGTATTTGTCGCCTTTTCCCGTTATAATAACGGTTTTTCACTTTAGCTATGCCGCTGTGCTATCACAATGGATCAAAACTGCTAGAATCGGTTTCTCCCATAAAGAGGTATCTGACAGTAGGTTTCTCAACCATCCTGCTTTTTCGCTTGCCGTAGCTAGCGCTATTAATTCTGATTCCATAGTAGAATGAGCCAAGATAGTCTGTTTCTTCGACTTCCATGACACAGCCCCGCCACCAATACTAAAAATATATCCACTAGTGGCTTTAGAGTCATCTGAAAGGGTATTCCAATCAGCATCGTTGTAACCTTCTAGGACAGCGGGAAACATCTCATAGTTTAATATGAAATTCATCGTCCTTTTAAGGTATCTCATAAGCCACTCCAAATAGGGTTTGCTAGTAAACCTACATAAAACTCCTACGACATAAGATATATCAGGCCTAGTGCAATCAGTAGCATAATGAAGACTACCAATAATGCTCACATACTCAGATTGTTTAACACTGTCACCAGTGTTCTTGAACAATTTTACACTAGGATCATGAGGAGTACAAGCTGGTTTACAATCAAAATAATTATACTTTCTTAAATTTTTTTCTATGTAGTGAGATTGATCTAAAGAAAACCTATGTTCAGACCTAGTTATTTTCAAACCAAGTATTACACTAGCTTCACCCAAGTCTTTCATACCAAAATTAGCACATAACAAAGATTTGACATTATTCACAATATGAATATTTGAACCAAAAATGAGCAAATCATCCACATATAGGCATATTATAATGCATATATTATTTTCATACTTATAATAGATGCATTTGTCACTTTCATTTATTTTAAAACCATTTGAAATAACCAAACTATCAAATTTCGCATGCCATTGTTTAGGAGCCTGTTTCAATCGATAAAGTGACTTATCTAACTTGCAAACTTTATTTTCTTGTCCTGGAATAATAAAACCCTCTGGTTGATCCATATATATTTCTTCCTCTAATTCACAATTTAAGAAAGTTGTTTTAACATCCATTTGGTGCACAACAAGATCATGAATAGAAGCTAAAGCAAACAATACACAAATAGAAGTTTTTCTAGTCACATGTGAATAAGTATCAAAGAAATCAATATTTTCTCTTTGTCTATAGCCTTTGGCAACAAGTCGGGCTTTAAATTTTTCAACTGAACCATCAGGTTTTAATTTTCTTTTAAGAATCCATTTGCAACCTATTGTTTTGCAACCAGGTGGAAGATCCACCAAATGCCAAGTTTGATTTGACTCCAAGGAGTCCATTTCATCATTTATAGCTTCTTGCCATAAATTTGCATCTAAAGAAGTTAAAGCTTCTTGAATTGTATTAGGATATTCTTGTAAGTTATATACATGAAAATCAAGCCCAAAATCTTTAGCAATTCGAGCTCTTTTACTTTTCCTAGGTTCTAATGCAGATTGACTATGTTCTACAATAGTAGGTTCATAACTTTTAGAAGAATTAAAACCCCCACTATTTCGAAGATTAAAAGGAAATTTATTCTCATAAAAATTAGCATCAAGTGACTCAATTATGACATGGTTTTCCAAATCATAAAACCTATATGCTTTGTTGTTACATGCATAACCAATAAAGACACATTCATATGCTCTACTAGCCAATTTCGATCTTTTTGGATCATGTTTACGAACATAAGCTAAACAACCCCAAGTTCTGAAATACAACACATTTGGTTTCTTATTTTTCCAAATTTCGTAAGGAGAAATATTTGTTTTTGAGTTAGGGATTCTATTTAACACATAACATATAGTCAACACAATTTCACCCCACCAATAAGAAGCAGCTCC